CTTCTCCCTCTCCCACTCCCCCTGCTTGTGTTCCCTCTCTCGCTGTCTCTCTCTGTCAAATAAATAAATAAAATCTTAAAAAAAAAAAAAAAAAGCAGTAGAAGTGAAATAGGATTCAGCATTATTAACTGAGAGCAACCTTGAGAGACACCTGTAGTGGTTCCTGTTAGGTTGGTTGTAACTCTGTTCTTCTGTGTTCGGATGCCATCCATTAGGAAGTGTGAGATCTGAGGGGGACTAGCACTTATGTTGGTGTTGCCCTTAGCTGTACAGGACTAAGGGATGGGGAAAAGCAAGGGCTGTAAGAAAGCAAGCAGTGTAACTCTTAATGGTTACTATTCTTTTGTTACTTAATTTAGCATGTTTTTAATGTCCTTGATATTAAACCACAAATAGCTTTGCTTGTTAGCGTGGGAACAGTGTGTGTTTTTGGACAACTGCATGAACATGTATTCATCTCTTTTTCTTACAGAACATAAAAGACCACTAAAAGCATGAGTTTGCTAATCACAGTAATACAAAATATATTTCTTTAAAAAATACTAACTGTGAGTCCTGCTTAGGCATATTATGATTTATTTGCTTGTTAGCAATTTCATTTTTGATTTATTGAGTCTGTATTAAATATAACCTCATTAATTTGACCCTATTTTTGATGTCTTGAGTTTTTTGAATGGTGCCTCAATAGTACATAGTTATTTATTCCTTTTTCTTAGGCCTCCCTCTTCATTCCTTACATAGGCATTTATTCTACTTCTTCATGTAAGAGATTCTGATGTCTCTGAAATGTTTCCAAAAGAATTAAAGAGCTTATCTGAATAACTGAAATTGCTCATTATGTTTATAACTCTCTTTTTCTAGGAACATTCCATACTTATGATCGATGAAATCAATGATATTCGAATTATTGGAGCCATTACCGTGGTGATCCTTTTAGGTATCTCAGTGGCTGGAATGGAGTGGGAAGCAAAAGTAAGTAATGAACTCACTGGAGTATCTGTACTTATTTAACATACGAACTTTTAGAGTGTGTGTTTAGGGACCACTCTAAAGTGCGGTAATATTTTTAGATTTCAAAGATCCTTCAGTGGCCATTTTCAGAGAAGTTTGTGTATCAGGTTATTTTCTATCTGACAAGGCAAGGAATGTTTATAGATAGCAGTCAGTCTAGCATCCACTTAAACACAGTACTTTCGGGGCTCCTGGTGGCTCAGTCAGTTAAGCATCTGCCTTCAGCTCAGGTCATGATCCCAGGGTCCTGGGATCGAGCCCCACATCGGGCTCCCTGCTCAGAGGAGAGCCTGCTTCTCTCCCTCTGCTGCTCCCCCTGCTTGTGCTCTCTCTCTCTCTCTCTCTTAAAAAAAACAGTACTTTTAACCTTTGGATTCCTGCCCCCTCCCCACCTCTTCCTTTCCCCTCCCCTCCCTTAATCTTGATTCAAGTTATTTAGAATCACTCAGGTCAGTATGTTAGGCAGCCCAGATTAAACTTTTGGCTTTGTAATTTATTTAACAGTTCAATTTCAAAAATAAATACAGGGGCAATAAACTTCAAGTTAGTGCCCATAAGAGATTAGAGAAGCTTGTCTTGCTCCTTGCTGTTGAAGTCTCAGAAACCATGGCTACCAAAGCCAGGACCACTGTTTCTGGGAAAGGTTGCTGAAATCACATGTTAACTTGTAGGCAGAGCACCTGGCATTATTTCTCCACCTTTGAGAGAATATTCCTCAGTACAGCTCTGCTTTCCTGACTAAATCATCCACAAAGATCCTGCTGAGTATCTCCAAGTCCCCTCTAGGTGTCGTCATGTTTCCTTTTATAAATTGTGTAAAATCCTATATTTCTGCTGTATGTGAGCCATGATAATATTTATCAGATCAAAAATTAGGCAAGTTGGAAAGAATAATTTTCCCAAAGTTGTTTTTTAAGTCATTAGTATATAATTAAATCATTTACTTATACTTTTAACCATTTGACTTAACTGAAAAGAATAGAATTTCATCCTACCTGGGACCGGATTAGCATTTAAGCAGTTTTTATTCCCAGGGAGGACACAGGTTTTCATGAATATCTGCCTAACTTTACTGGGAGGTGAAGAGTGGAGAAGGAGAGGCGGGGGAAGGGGGCAAAATAGTGAAGGGAGTCAAATGTATAAAATTGCAGTTATCAAATAAATGTCACAGGGATGTAATGCACAGCATGGTGACTATAGTTAATACTGTATTGCATATTTGAAAGTTGCTTTTTTAAAAGAGTAGATCTTAAAAGTTCTCATCACAAGAAAAAAATTTTAAACTATGTATGGTCACGGATATTAACTAGACTTACTGTGGTGATCACTTTACAATTACATGTGTATGAATATTGGATTGTTATGTGGTACACCAGAAACTGATAGATTGTTACATGTCCATTATATCTCACTAAAACAAAACAAGCGTGCAGGAGGAGAAATGGCAATTCTCATAGATTGTTCCTTCCAGTCCCATTACTAATTCAGTCCTCCTCCTGCATATTGTCTTCTTCTTTCTGTACTAGTACACTTCTTCTTCTTCTTTTCCTGTGGTTGTCAGACATTCAACATTGTGTTTGGACTTGGTGTAAAACTTGTGTTTGTAGCAAATACGTTCCCTGTGTCAAGATTGTACTTCCATTGGAGGGGGCAGTAAATAATGATAAATGATGAAAAGCCTGCAGTGTTGTGGAATGCATAGGGCTTTAGGATTTGTGGGATGACATGCACATCTTAAATTCATTTCAGAAATATTTGGCATGATCCTACTTATGCGATCCATTTTTTCCCTAGTATATTGAACATTTTAGGATAGTTCTTTAAAGATTGCTTATGTAGTATAAGTTTATTGAGCACCTCAAAAAGCTTTTTGAGGCACTGGGAAAACAAGACAAATCTCTTCAGTCACAGAAGTTATACAATAATGAAACTAAATCAGTGTAGAGACATGAGAGATTTGATTTTGATTTTTCATGTTTAAAATTCCAGGCTCAGATTGTTCTTTTGGTGATTCTACTACTTGCTATTGCTGATTTCGTCATAGGAACATTTATCCCATTGGACAGCAAGAAGCCCAAAGGTTTCTTTGGTTATAAGTGTAAGTAAAAAAGATAGACTCTCTTTTTAAAGGTGCATGTTACAGCATTCTATTAGTAAACAAAGTTAGTACACTGTAGATAATTTGTAATATAATTGATTTTGGTGGAGTGACTCACACTAATTGACAATCCAATTTAGTGTTGTCTCCATTATGTATGTTACGATCAGAGTAAAGTACCACTTTTATTTACATCTTCTGTTTTTCATTCTTAGCATCAAAAGATGATAGAATGTAGAAAAATCAGTGCTCCTGAGGAAAGTTGCCTTTGTTCTCTGTCATTTTGGGAATTTGTAACTGAAATGGTGACTTTTATGCTCACATGGCTTTTTCATTCTTTAAGTTGTATTTCAACACAACAGTCGAAACGTACCTACACCTATGAAGAAAATACTCGTTGTATAATGGCAACTTCAGTTTTTCTACCCTTTTACATTATACCTTGTGAGGATTTTCCATAGTTTTCATCTTTGTGACCCTTTTCATTCTGCTTCTAATTGTCCCTGCTGGTGAAATTTACTTACCATTTGTTATTTCCTTAAGTCTCTATCTGTATTTCCCACCCCATCACCATCCCCCGCTCCCCACCAAATGGAGCCACTCTGCACCTGCATCTGCACAGGGTGAAATGGAGCAGGAGAGAACACTTGGATTAGCGTCAGAGAGGCTTACCACTTAGGGTAATAGATGTGTCTTCAGTTGATAAAAACTCCTCAAGAAACTCCCTGTTTTGAAACCCTAGAAGGAGAGGCCTAGCTGCAGTCCTCCCCAGTCGTTCAGCCCAGAGCTATTCATACAGATCTGTGAAAAGATACAGAATGTACATCAGTGCCCTTCTTCCTTCACAGAGTCTTACTGGGAAAAAAAAAAATCAGCTGACCCAAACTGTGGATCCTAGAGACCTAGTTGGTTTACATTCCGGTGTAAGCTTACTAATCTTTTTGATCACAGTAACAACATACAGTCCTTGATCATTTGTGAGTAGCACTGGTTTGGCTTCTCTTAGACACTGACTTAGTTGCATGGGTAGTTTTCTGATAGGAATTGTTTCAAGGTTTATACCTTAACCAGTGACACTCACCCATTATTTGTGCCTGCTGGTCCTGGGTTGATAGTGTGATATCTGTTCTTATTACTAGTGCTCGTGCCTACGTCTAAACTGGGCTTTAAATTCCTGATTTTCTAGATTGGGGGAAGAGGTGTTTACTAGGCATGCCAGAAGTGAAAATTAAAAGCATCACTTAGGTAGATATTTTTTTACATTTTAAGCTTTCATAAATTATATTTGTGATATTTCTTGTCCTTAGGAGTGATTTTTTACTTAAATTTTTTTTATGTTATAAATTTTTCTGAACATTTCTTTTTGCAACCTTATTTCTAAAAGAAGTGTTAAAAATTATAGGAGATGATTATTTCTAAAAATTTACCTAGTTATTATATATTTTCTGTTTGTGACTTTAGTTGATTTAAAAATAGCTACAAATATCTGCTAAACCACATTTTTCATTTCCTTTTTTTTTTTTTTTCAGATCCTTGGCACCTTATAAAAGTATTGCATTGTTGTATAGTAATAAATATTATATAAGTAGTGTATCTGGGTTTATCTCAGTCTGAAGTAAATAAATCTAAATATACTTCAGAATGTGACTTTTCTTTTTTGGTGGTTGATATTGCTTTGCTGCCTTCTCATTCATTTTACTAAGGTAGTGAGATACTTAATGGCTCCAGTAGGAAAACCTGGTGCATGGTAGTTATTCAGATGATGGATGGATGGATGGATGATAGTTAACTAGTTGTTTCAGTGTCAGGGCCCATCAGAATAGATGGAAACAGTAGGACTAGTTGAAGCTTTCATTATTGTTAAAATGGAAAGGGACTTTACCTAGTTTGCCTTAGCTAAAATTATATGGAAGCCTGAGAATAATTCAGCATCAAAAATTACACAGGTCACCACAAGGAAATAGAGAACTGTACAGATAGTATATAAGTTGGATGTAAGAAAAAAAAATGGGTCCAGATTAGTATGATGTTCTTTTATTTTCCTACCTCCTTTCTTATTTCCTTGACTGACCCCAGACATTGAGAAGTTTGTCCACGCTTTGATTGACATTTGTACTAGTGATAACAATCAAGTTAGAGGTGCTTGAAACATAATTAGTAAGGTATACAAAATAGTAGGCATGACCCAGGTCAAATCATCATTGTGATTATAAACTGTTTCCTCATACAAGAAAACAGGCAATGCCATGCTTCTACTAGGAAATAGTCAAGAATTTACCAGTTAATTGAACTGAAGAAAAGCTACATACATACATACATAACACTTACACTTGACCTAAATTATAATGGTCTAATCTGCTGTCCATTAATTGCCAAAGATATTTTGTTCTCCACAGCTGAAATATTTAATGAGAACTTTGGACCGGATTTTCGAGAGGAAGAGACTTTCTTTTCTGTATTTGCCATCTTTTTTCCTGCTGCAACTGGTATTCTTGCTGGAGCAAATATCTCAGGTGATCTTGCAGTAAGTATTACAAAGTACTGTATTGATTTTGTGTAAAAAATGGTATACATATATTTATTTTTAAAGGTAGACTTAAAATTTTTTTCTTGTCTTCTAGGATCCTCAGTCAGCCATACCCAAAGGAACACTCTTAGCCATTTTAATTACTACGGTGGTTTACATAGGAATTGCAGTATCTGTAGGTAAATAGCCTTATATTTCTCTTTCAGAAATTTCATGATGTACATACTTTAAATATTTATTTCCATGGTATTATATTTCTAACTTTTAATTTCAGAAATACTTCAATAAAAAGATTAAGAGTTGAGTATTTTAATTCAGAAAGAGTTTTAGGTAAACTAGTAGTGATTTTACAGATACTACCTAAGTGCCCAGATGCCCTATTGTTTTTTTCTCTAGGATCTTTATGAATTAAAGTAAATTAAAAATTGTGTAAAGTCTTCTTTGCAAACTCTTAAATTTGACTTAGCTATATTTTATAGAAAATATAATTCACATAGTAGAAGTAAATGCATTTTACTCTGTGATCGTTATAAAATTTTTAATATTTTTTTATGGTGGTTATTTTATATTTGCATGTTAATCTTACTACATATGAAGATTGTTTGAAGACATTTAAGCAATGCTTGGCATTTTTTACCAAAACTGATTTTGGTAGATAGGACATTCTTTATTGAATGAAAAGTTACTGAAGTCTTATTAAATTGAATGAACCTGGTTTTCAACCTTTTATTACATTCATGAAATCATAGCATTTTAAATGAACTGGAAAGGACTTAAGTGGTCAACCAGTCTCTAAATCACTGTTGTACACATGAAGGAATGAAAGCTTAGAGATTTCCTACCAAAGATAAGTGACACTTGATTTAAAGAATTGTTTCCTGGCAAAGAGAGATTTTATTTTGTTTTTTAGTGAATTCTTTAAAGACTCTTAGTTTCTTTAGCTGAAATGTTCCCAAGAAAAAAGTAAGTATTGATTTATATATAATTGACTGCACTGACGATAGTTAAAATTTTTTTAAAACATTTATTTTAGAGAAGGTGAGAGAGCACAAGCGGGGGGGAGGGGCAGGCAGAGGGAGAAGCTGACTCCCCACTGAGCAGGGAGCCCAACACAGGACTGGATCCCAGGACCCTGAGATCATGACTGGAGCCGAAGGCAGACACCTAGCTGACTGAGCCACCCAGGCGCCCCTGTTTATTCTTACAGTCCATATGTAGATTTCTGAAATTCATTTAGAAACAACAATTTTATATATATAAATAAAAGCTTAGCAAAAATATTTTTGTGATCCCCTAAAAGTTCCTGGCTCAAGAAAATTTAGTTTTAATTTAAAGAATGATATAACTGATTATGTTTCAAATTGGAAAATAATTAGTTACACCAAATAAATGTTTTCTGTTTGTATCTGTCTCTCTGATGTGAGCCGTCATACTTATTTCATTCTGTCCGTACTAGCCCTTGGAGCAGTAGGAGTAGCCCTTCCTCCCTGACACTCAGGAATGGGGCCCGTGTCTACAAGAGTGGATGTGTAACTGGTTCAGAGTAAGGGAAACTTTTTCCCCCCAGTCACCTGCGATGTAGAACATCAGAGTATGAAACATAAAAGCATAGCTGCTGTAAGGTAGACAGGGCTCTTTTCTCTCCTCACCCCACATGGTTTCACAAGTACCTTTAAGGAAACATGGTTTTGCAAACACTGCTCTGAGAGTTAGATGAAGAAATTTAGGAAGAACTTGATTAAAATATTCTCCCTTTCAAACTTAATTTTCTGTGTGTTGTTCACTTTTGGCTGCAGTGTTTATAATTTTTACCTCCTATATGATGAGACAGGAGTGTTAAAGTGCTTCAAAAGTCTAAGGAATGGTAATTACTAATAGTTACACATCATATGTTGTTCCAGATAATGAAGTGCTTTTTTCCAAGAAAAGTTTTTAAATGTCATAGTATGGAAGTTTTCGGTTTTGCACAAAAGTAGAATGCGTTTTCTAATGAACCATCACCTACTTTCAACAAAGTTACCAAGAAGTAACAGTATATGGTTAATCTTGTTTCACCTGTGCCCATTCCTTCTGCCCCAGGGGTTATTTTTAAGCAAATCTCAGGTATCACGCACTGTCTTATTATCTGGATAGACTTACTTGAGCCAAAGGTTTAAATAGAATTATAATTCATTAATGTTCAAATTGTTTCCCTTCCCACAGAAGATTGATATTACCTGAAGTCTGATCTTTGGCATGTTTCACATATAAAACACTTGGGAGTACAGGAAAACATTTCTACCATTTGGAACTCTTCCAACAGAGTGTTTTCATAATTGCTTAACCAAATAGTTTTGCTCATTACCATTTCCACAACTATATGTATGGGGTTTTTAAGTGTGCATGTGTGAAATATTCGTCTTTGTAAGATTTTGTTTCACTACTTAAATATTGGGGACCATGATGCTTTTCCAATTCCCTTTGAGGTAAATCTATTTAAACTATAAATGCTATATGTAAATGCTGAAAATGTAAGTACTGTTAACTAGTATATATTCAGTCAGTACCATAAATTCCTTTATGGATATATGTAATTTTGAAATGAATATAAATTTCAGTTATATTACTTGTTCTTATTGTCCCTTGCCCTTCAGGTTCTTGTGTTGTTCGAGATGCCACTGGGAATGTTAATGACACTATTGTAACAGAGCTAACAAACTGTACTTCTGCAGCCTGCAAATTAAACTTTGACTTTTCATCTTGTGAAAGCAATCCTTGTTACTATGGCCTAATGAACAATTTCCAGGTGAGCCTCATATTTATGTTATGCTGACATTGTATATAGAGAGGTCAGACTGCTATCAAACCTGAGCACTCACTTAGAAGGGAGGAGCATTGTAGGACCATTGTTACTTTTTACCCAGATAGCTGTTTGAAAAGTCTGTAGATAAATAATTGGGCAAATAGATAAATATTGAAAGGGTAAAATCTGAAGCTGTTCAAGAGCAAAAGGGCTCCCGAGCGTAACGCTTTTATGATCATGTATAATATATAGCATATAGTAGTGTATGGCTTCAGAAAGCAGGGAAGCATCTCACGCATGCTCATTTTTGTTGGCTCTATTTCTGGATTCTCTGATCTGTTCTTTGGTGTTTCCATCTATCAATCCACCAGTACCATACATTCTTGTTTAGAGTAGTTACATGGTAAGTCTTGAAGTCAAGGAGATTGATTCCTCCCACTTTATTGTTTTTCAGAATTGTTTCAGCTTAGTTCCTTTTGCCTTTTCATATAAATTTTAGAAGAATGTTTATCTACAAAAAGTCTTGCTAGGATTTTGATAGGAACGTATTGAACTTGTGTATCAATTTGGGGAGGATTGGCATGTTCACTATATTGAGTGTTCCAGTCCATGAACACAGTATGTCTCTCCATTTATTTAGATCTTCTTTGGTTTCTTTCATCAGCATTGTGTAGTTTTCAGAATACAAGTACTCGACGTGTTTTGTTATACCTAAGTATTTCATTCTTATTTTGAGTACTTTATTATTTTTTTAAAAGATTTTCTTTTAAGTAATCTCCACACCCAGTGTGGCGCTTGAACTCAAAACCCTGAGATCAAGAGTTGCATGTTTCACCGACTGAGCCAGCCAGGCCACCCCTTAAGTATTTTAAATGAGTTCTGTACTCAGTGAAATGAGTTCATTTTTCTAATTTGAGGTGTCTTCATAATTGCTTTATATTGTAACTTCCCTTTTAAAAAAGTGTTGGTATCAGTAGTGTTATTAGTTAGATAAGGCCCACATAGTCATGCTGTGCTAAACTCCCGTTGAATAATAGAATTAAATTCTTAATGGATGCTTGAAGGTTTGTGACCTTTTGGAACATAGGAACTATGATGATACTACTTGTCTAGAATTTAGAGAATATCATTTCTTCTCCTTTTTGCTATTGCCTCTATAAGGTTCCGAAAGCGAAATGAAATTTTTGTAACATTTATGGGCTTTTACAGAGAAGATTATAGTAACTCAAAGTGAAAATTAAAGATTTTGATTCTAGTGTTTTTACAGTTTAGTGTAAACATAAACAGAATAATTGAGAGTTCACTGTATTTTAGACCAATATACATTTTATGTAGAATACTTAAATTTTGTAATAAATTTATGACTTAATTTTTAATGGGTTTTTTTTTCATTTTGTGTTTTAAGCAATTGACTGCATTTTCATTGGTTATAAATATTGAACCCAATTATGTAATAGAAGTTTGTTTGTTCTAGTCACAAGATCTAGGCATAGTCGTAGGAATAAAGAAAGTATTCATATCCAGCTAATGATTCGGGCCAGTTCTGACATTGATATTGTGTATGAAAAGCACAAATGTTGATCTCTTCCCAGTGACTGAAAATGCCAATCAGATTTCTTTGTTGTTACCTTAAAATACAAAAGTGTGCTGTCTTTATCAAGTCTAGTATGGACTCATTAAAGCAAAGAGGAGTTTGGTTTACGTAAAGCTGCTTTTCTAATATAACTAAAAAACTTTTTAAAACAATTTTTAAATGCTTTGGAAAGTGAAACTAAATAGAAAAAAAATCCTGAAAAATGCAAATTGCTTGTCATTTGGAGAATGAAGAATGGTGCATAGAACGTATCTGAGGGAACTTTAAGTTGGAATATGATCATGAAGTCTACAAAGCCACACTTGATCACACTGTTTTGCATGTAATTGACTTTTCATACTTCAGGAGGAAAAGTGATTTGGGTTGCCTTACTTGTCTTAAATTTTTAATTTTACATATATAGTCTTAATGTTTCTGAATATAGTTCTATATTTTAATGTCCCCTGAAACCTTTGACTCACCATTGCTTAATAAACAAAGTGTGAGCTTCTTTGCTCTGCCAGTCAAAACCCTTCATACCCAGACTTATATCCCACAGCCTTCTATCCATACTGAACTCCAGTGGTTGAATGTTTGTATACATACACATGCATACATGCTTACCCTACTTTCTTGGGGGTGTTTTGTTTTGTTTTGTTGCTTCACTCTTCTGGGAGTGCACCTGCTTTTTTCTTTACATTTGTCCAAATCTGCCTGCTTTCAAGGAGACCAGTTCCATGAAGATTTTCTAAACTACAGGTCATCAAAAACACACACACACACACACACACACACACCCACCTTCCATACGGAATCTTACCATTCATTTTACTTGCCGCTTTTCTTTTTTTTTTTTAAAGATTTTATTTATTTATTTGACAGAGAGAGACACAGCGAGAGAGGGAACACAAGCAGGGGGAGTGGGAGAGGGAGAAGCAGGCTCCCCGCAGAGCAGGGAGCCCGATGTGGGACTCGATCCCAGGACCCTGGGATCATGACCTGAGCTGAAGGCAGTCGCTTAACCAACTGAGCCACCCAGGCGCCCCTACTTGCCACTTTTCTACCTTGTATTGGACGTTTGTCTTTTCTCCCCTTTACTCGAGAGAAGACCTGTGTTTTTGTTATCTTTGTTTCCACTTTGTATTCTGGACAACACTGGTGTTACCATTATTTACATTCATTATCATTGTCCTTACTACTCATATTTTATCATTAAATGGTGGAAAATGCAGAGGTTACCAAGTAGGGTAAATATATAACTAGAAAACAGGAAACTTGGCAATTTCTAGAAGCATAGGATTTCGAGATGCTAAGCATGGAGCATTATTTACCTCAATTCATGGAAGAAGAGATGATGTAATAGAAGAAGAGAAAATGGAATTTTTCCCCAAAACATGACAGATGAAAAGTCACAGTTATATATAATGCTTGTGGTGTGTGTTTTGCCTTAATCCAGCAGTGTATCATATTTTCTGTTCCTTGCTTTCTCTCTTCATTTATCTCCTGTCTTTGCACTTATCTTTGAGGTCATTATAGACAGGCACGGAATTTTATGTTTGATAAGTATATATAGCAGAAATCAAGTCTGCTCATTTTTTATCTTGGTCCATCTTGTATGTCTTTTATAATCTCCTTCCCTAAAGACAGGATTGGCAATTCTGATCTAGTATTAATAGCTCTGTAATACAGTGATTGTGAAAAACACATGGCATATACCTAACCAAATTGTTATAAACGGCTGAATAGAAAATGATCTTTTCAAGATTTTTTTTCTCCTTGAAATGCTCAGAGAGGATAATACTAAGGTTCATTAGAACACTTTAGTGTATTCTTCATTTTTAACACTGGATCTTTTGAAAGATACAGGGGGAGATACTTAAATGAAACAAGGTGGAATTATGTACACTTGTAGCCAGATTGATGCACTATGGCCAGGGATTGTGCCTATAGTTAACTTTACATCTGGTTTAAAGTATAAAGTTACAGTCAACTGTATAATAGTCACTAACACCTTAAAACCATATTTCCTTTATCTCCTTGGTGTCAGTTGGCACATTGTCTTGGTCAATATAAATGAAAAGTAGGGATGCCTGGGTAGCTTGGTCGGTTAAGTTTCCAACTCTTGATTTTGGCTCAGGTCATGATCTCAGAGTCGTGAGATGGAGCCGGCTTAAGATGGAGGGTGCTTAAGATTCTCTTTCTCTCTCTCCCACTCCCCCCACTTGGGCACGCACGTGCTCTCTCTCTCTCAAATAAGTAATCTTAAAATATATGTATAATATATATTTATGAAGACTATAGATATATATATTTAGGAATTTTATATATATACGTATATATGAAGTAAATCTCCTGAGGAAGGAAGGAATTTAGGTGATGGTCACTGTTCACTACTGGTGAAATTTATAATGGATGGGTCAAGTTGACAGTACCTGAATCCACCAGACATATTTTCCACCTCAATTTTATTTTTTCACAGTTTTCAAAAATGTGAAGGGACAGTGCAGTGAATACCTGTATACCTACCCCTTCTCTTAAATTTACTATTTGTTTATATTTTACCCCATTGCTTTATCTTTGTGTGTATATATATATATTCTTTTATTTCACTTAAGCAATTTAATGTTGACAGAATACTGTTATCGAAATGTATATTCCATCTTCATCTTTCCCCACTTGTTTCGGTAATGTCCCTTTCAGCTATTTTTCTTAGATCCAAGATACAATCTAGGTCATGCATGGCATTTAGTTATTATTTTTAAATCCTTTAATCTAGGACTTTCTAGCCTGCCTGTTTTAATCTTCCAGGACATTGATATTTTAAAGAGTCCAGGCAAGTTACTTTGCATTTTGCTCCTCAGTTTGGATTTAGCTGGTTGTCGTCTCATGATCTAAGTGATCAATTCATTTTTTTTAAACTTCATTAGGGAAATATTTGAACATGTGCAAAGATCGAAAAGCAGTGTAATGTACCTAGCATATCAAGCACAATCACCAATGCTTGGCTGACTTTATTTTATTTATAACTTCCTACTTCCCAGATTATTTAAAGACCAATCATAGACTTAGATCATTTCAGGTAGAAATATTTCCACATTTAGCTCTAATATTTAAGGTTTCTTTTTAAAAAGAAAAAACATAACCACAGTACAAATCTACTACCTTAATGTCAAAAAACAAAAACAAAAAAACAGAAAGAAAGAACCTACCTGACAGAAGTGTATTGTACCATCTTGAAATATTCCTGCCAGAAAACTTGTATTTCAGTCTGATGACCTGTCTCGGTCTATCAGTTGACTAAGAAATACAGAAGTGAGAGCAGCAGGTTAAATAACAGAAGTTGGAGGTGCAGTCAGCAAAATCCAGAGTGTGAGTCTTCTATAGGAAAATGACCTAAAAGTAATAAAATGTAAAGGAAACAGTGAACCTGTGGATTGAAAAAGACTTAAGAGGCATATCAACCAAATTTAATGTGGAGTCCCTTTGTGGATCCTGATTTAAACAAACTATTTAAAAAGGTAAGAAAAGATGGACAGCTTGGGGGAATTTGAATGCTGATAGGATATTTGGTGATGTTAAGGAATTACTTTTCAAACTGTGTTAGTGGCTTTGCAGTTAGGATTTTTTAAAGTGCTTACACTTTAGAGGTACATACTGAAACTTTTATGCATTAAGTGATATCTGGGGTTTGACTCACAATGACGTGGGGATTGGTTCATTATGCTATTCTCTCTGCCATTGTATGTCTTTGAAATTTTACCAAATGAAAAGATTGAAGGTGAGGGTTCGTGGTAAATCTGTTGCAGAAATTTGTAATGCGTAGAGCTATCATTCCTGTTCATTATTATCATATTTCCCTGATATTAGTCTCCTTCATTAGCATAATAAAGATGTATTGTGAGTTTTTTGAGTGGTTTGTAAGACTTAATTTTCCATTTTTTTCCCTTTTTAAGGTAATGAGCATGGTGTCAGGATTTGCACCATTAATTTCTGCTGGTATCTTTTCAGCCACTCTTTCTTCTGCATTAGCATCCCTTGTGAGTGCTCCCAAAATATTTCAGGTAGGTATTTTCGCATTACAGGCTTTATTGTAGGGGAATTTATGGTAATACATTTCATTTTGGGATTGTTAATTTTTTCAGATTATTTGTTTACCTCATAGGTGTTTATGATTTATACACATGTATCTCAAGCCAGATATGTTTAACTTCGTATGTTTGAATGTGAATGTTTCTGTTTATATAAACTCTAGTGCATTTACCTACTGTCAGGGTGTAGTCCTTGAGTTGTCTTTCTGGAAGTGGTGATGGATTTTTGCTTTTTTCGACGCATTCTCGTTGCTCAAAGTTTTCTAATGTCTTACCAAGAATAAGGAATGCATTCCAAGCATAAATCAGAAGAATTAAAGGATCTTGTCCCTCTTAGCATGATGTCAGTCTTTATGTTTTACTTTACAAATATTTCAGTGCCTACCATATGCCACACGTTGTGTTAACTACTCAGGGTAGAAAGATGAATAAGGTAGACATTATCTCCCTTTAATGAGCATTAGATAAACAGCTGATACTGAATAGGAAATACTTTTTATTACTGAGTCCAAAAATGAAATGTTGATTCTGCAGCCTGGTTCTTAATATTATAGTTGTAGGCAGTGAGTACAGTAAATGTAGAATATATTTCTTTTTTTTTTTAAAGATTTTATTTATTTATTTGACAGAGAGAGACATAGCGAGAGCAGGAACCACAAGCAAGGGGAGTGGGAGAGGGAGAAGCAGGCTTCCCGCAGAGCAGGGAGCCCGATGTGGGACTCGATCCC